TTTTTTTTTTCGTAAGCTGTAAAACAAACATAAAATATACTGGGGACATGAAAATGACTGTTTTTGTGAGAATGACCCATATATGTACTTTTATTTTTATTTTCGCAGAAATTATTTTTTTTGAATATATATACATATTTCCAATTTTTCAACATAAAAGTTACTAAACAAATTGAGCAATTTTGATTTTAATATATAATGACATCCACACATTTCGGGTATAAAATTGGGTTGCCAATAACACAGGGTTCCCAATATGCTTCAGGGAAAGAAAAAGGAGGAAGAGGACCATTTGTTGTTCAAAAGGGGACTTTGGAGATCCATTTAAAAATTAAAAAAAATTTATGTATAATAAAATTCAAAATGCTAAAACAACAAAACGCGTAAAATATTTCAATCACTTTTGTACTCTTAGTGGATAGTCGCCCAAATTCAGCAGTTCAAATATTTGCAATTTTAGAATTGTTAATTAAATCTTACAATAGAAATCAGGTGGGGAAAAAAATATGTGGATCCAAGAAATGTGGCAAGTCTGACCTTATCTTCATTAAATCAATTGAATAAAAAGGACACAAAAATTTTAAAGCTCTGACATTGTTAATTTTTCTAAACTCACATAGAAAATCTTAATTAGTCAATGATCCAAAGATCATTCTAGCCAGTCCTCTTGCCTCCTCTCATCCATTTAGTTTTGCTTTGCACAGATCTTGGTGCATGCATCTTTGCCAAGCAAGTGCAATGTAAGCAGATCTATCCCGTTTTAGATGAAGGATATGTTCAGAGCCACGATGGCTCAGGGGATAGAGCGTTCGCCATCCAATGAGGCGAACCGTGATCGAATACCAGACAATACGAGTTACGCATCCGGCTTGCACCGACCACAGTGCTGACGTGAAATATCCTCAATGGTAGACGGATCATGGATTAGAGTCCCCTTGCTGTCAGTTTAACCGTGGGAGGTCCTCGTGGTGTAAATGCGGGTTAGCTCTATCAAAAAGTCCTCCACGAAGGCAAATTTCTCTCAATGCTCGATCCAGGAGTTCCCTCGTCTTCTGGATTGGATTCAAAATTACAAGGCAACAGAGTTGAACATTAGTAGTCTTAAACCCATAAAATTGGGTCAGCTGTTCAACAACGGTTATATATTTTTTTAAAAAAGGATATGTCCAGTGGCCAAGGCAGTCTGGTTGGTAACGCACTGAGCCCATGTCCAAGAGGTCGTGGGTTTGATCTCCACGGGCTGAAGACTCACTGTGTTGTAAATGGTGACTGATGCACATTAAATCTGTCAAGTCACAAAGCCCTCTATGTTCCCATAAAAAATCATACCGCTGGGGGTACTGACCCAGGAGTTTCCGTCTCATGGATTGGTTCAAAATTACAAGGCAACGGAGTTGAACATTAGTAGTCGTAAACCCAAATTTAGGTTGGCTGTTCAATGACAGTTTTAAAATAAAATAAAAAGGATATGTCCAATCCATCTCCTCTTCAAAATTTCCTCATGAATGGGTGATAATTTTGCCTCTATTAATAGAGCTTTATTTAAAAAAGCATTAGTCCAGAAAATTTTTAAAATTATTCTTCAACATTTGTTCTGGAATGTTTCCAGTTTTTCCATTTCGGTTTTGTGGAGATTCCAACATTCAGCGCCATTCAAAAATATGGAACAAACAACAGCTTTAAAAGATTGCAGTACTGATCTATAAATACAACAGTGCACAAACTTTGACATCATTGGCTTTCCAAAAACCCTACACTTTAAAAGAAAAAACCTCATCTTCTTGTGGTATATTATTTTTAAAAGACAAACAAAATATTCTTAAAAAACAAAACAAAGTATATTGAAATAAATATATCACATTTATTTTCTTAATGATTATGCTACACAAGATATAAACAGTATGATAGAATAACACAATTCAAATGTGTAGTGATCAAAACAAAAATTCCAAATAACACTAAAATATCTTTTCCCATATTATTTACAAAAACTAATATACACAAATGATAATGACAAGCGTGAGACTCCCTTTTTGCATTGTTAGTGATACAGGTTTAAAGGATATACCACCTCTTCGAATGAAGTCAGCCTGTTTATTATTGATGATCGGCAAAGTCCATAAAACCTTTTTTGCATTATTAGTGATAGAGGTTTAAAGGATCTACAACCTCTTCAGATGAAGTCAGCCTGTTTATTATTGATGATCGACAAAGTCCATAAAACTTGGTGGGCTTAAAACTTTTGTCGGTAGCCGTAAACTTCCAACCCATATGACAATGACACTGTTCACACTCAACAATCGTCCATGCATAACTGGAAAAAATGTATAAGAATAAAAAATTATAAATGGAAATTTTAACAATAAAGAAGTACCTAGTGCCTGACAATATCAGATTTTACAGGGTGCATAGCCAAAGTATTCAACAAAAAATAAGCACCTTTAAAGCACTTTTCAAGCACTCAAAAAATATTTTTAAGCACTTTAAAAAAATATAATTAGGCAGGGTAGGAAAGTTTTTGACAATTGACGGTTTTATCCTGTTTTAACCGTCATGTCCAAAAAAAACATTTCGGCATTGTTTTTGACAATTGTCAAAAATCATGAAATTATGAATCATGTGAAACAAACTGCGTTTTCATACGCTACGTACTGGCAATATGCCGAAACAGATTGGGGTTGAATTAATTATGAAAACGTTGAATAAAACAATGCGAACTGTGTCTTTTTGCATAATTCGAAGCGAAAATTATAAATGGAAATTTTAACAATAAAGAAGTACCTAGTGCCTGACAATATCAAATTTTACAGGGCGTGTAGCCAAAGTATTCAACAAAAATTAAGCACCTTTTAAGCACTTTTTAAAAATGCTACGCACCCTGGTAAAAGGGGAAGAAACAGAAAGAAATTCAAGTTGTGACTCACCCAGGAAACCAGCTTTGTTCCGTAGATGGTCGACCAATCGTTTGCAGACCAGATGCATGTGAAACAGTTACAGCCTCATGGACATATCCATTGGGATTGACATAAGTGCCTTGCGGGCCTTGCAATGACATGCTGAATATGTCCTCCCTTTTTGCGATATCTTTCAGGCAATCCCTGCAGCTCAGGACTGAACACTAAACAGAAAAATTAGAAAGATTCACACAAATTAAATATTCCATATTAATTATTTTATTACATAACTGAGATTTTTAAGAAAAAGATTTTGAGGAAATATAAAAATTAAAAAAAATAACAATAATTAAAGCAACAACATTCATTGATAGTTTAAGTTAAATTGACAAGTGGTGAATATTTCTTTACCTCACACAATTTATTAAAGTTACATTAAAGTCACACAACTAAATACATTCAGCTTAACTTAGAATTCTATTAACACTACAAATATTTCATAAGGCATGTCCAGATTAAAAGTAAAGCATTAGGCAAATCTCAGTGAGTTAATGTGTTCCCAATAAGTGAGGGGCACCATTCTACAGGATCACTACGTAATTACAAAATAAACAGATAGGGCATTGCACATCAAGAGTAGCTAAGTCATTTCAGAAGCTTCAAAAAGCAAGTGCCCCATGACATGTTGAGTAACAAGTCTTACAGAGTATTTAATTTAATTTTTGAATTTAAAAAAAAATCATAATTCATAATAATCATAAAAAAATCATAACAATTTCACAATAAAAAATAAGTGTTGAGCCAGACAAGATTTCCTAGATTACATCTGCAGACATAAATCATTATTTTCGGGGGGGGGGGGTGAAATCACTTCAGAAATTCAATATTTATAATTAAAAAGTAGTGAAAGACGTACAGTTTCCAGAATTTTGAGTTCAAGCCTCAATCTCTGAGTCACTTCATTTATTTTGATTAACTCCAAACGTTGAAAATCGTCTAAAGGAATGTTGGCCGCAACCCAGTAGGAAAACTCGATAGGATTATTGGGCAAGTTGATTCCTCTAAGAGCTCGATTCCAACTTTCAAGCAAAGATCTAATTTTCTTCATAATTACTTGCTGTAAAATAAAAATGAGTTAAAAATTAGGTTTCCCATGCACAACATTTTGTTTAATTATGTACGAAACTTTGAAAAAAGTTCATAGTTTAAAATTTCATAGAATTTCTAACAAATTTTTCATTTAATATTTTGTAACATTCTTACAAAGTAGTTTTTTTTAAAGTAAATTATAAATTGCTGAATGAAAATTTAAAACGTATTATAAAAAATAATAATTCTTTAATCCATTATAACATGCTTAACAAGGCTTCACAGTTTTTCATAACTAGCTAAAATTCATAAATTGGCAACAAAAAAATAATACATATTTTCAATAAAAAATATTTTATTTTATAGCATAAGAACCAAAAAAAAAATTAATAAAATAGATATTTTAATTTTTCTTTTCCTTAAACAAGTATTATAAAAATTATCACTAATATGCTTTTAAAATTTAACAGTGTTTAAAAGTGATTTAAATAATGTTGATTGATTGTGAAAAAAAAGAAGTTTCACAACATTTTGATTTTATTTTCTTTAGAATAAATTTTTACAAAATAAAAAGAAACTAAAACTATTTTTTCAAACAATAAAATTTTAGCATAAGAATCTTAAAAATTAAATATTCAATATGTCATTGCTACATTTTTTAAGAATTACTAAAAATAATTCATATTTTCATTTATTATTTTTAAAAAATAAATTTAATTTAATAAGAGTTCAGTTAAATACAATTTATAGAATTAAAGATAAAAAGAAAATTCTTTTTTTTTCTGTGAGCCTAAATGATAAAGAAACATTAAAGAATCAACAAATTATTATTTAACATTTTTTAGAAATGGGTTTACTAAACAGGTAGACTTGAATAATAAAATTAAAACAAAGGAGGTTTGAATAGATACTTACCGCATCATACATTTTGTAAACAAATTCTGGAAAAGGTGTGTAATTTGCAAAATCATACTTATTATTCTGAAAACAAAACATCACATTAAAAGTGGTCAATAAGAACACTATTACCTAAATGAAATATAGTAAAGCATGAGAATAAATGAAAAAGAATAGAGATGTATTGGGCACCTGGCATACACACACAAACAGATTTTCATCACAGCGTTATTATCCGATAATTAAAGAGTTTCATAAAAGGAAACTGGACTCAACTTTTTAATCTCAACATCTGGTGCCGAGTACCTAGGCAATTTTATTAAAAAAAAAAAAAAAAAAAAAAAAAANAAAACACCTTTTAAGCACTTTTCAAGCACTCAAAAAATATTTTTAAGCACTTTTAAAAAATATCATAATCAGGCAGGGTTGGAAAGTTTTTGGCAATTGACGGTTTTATCTTGCTTGATCCATCATGTCAAAAAAAAAAAAAAAACTTTTGTCATAGTTTTTGGCAATTGTCAAAAATCATGAAATTTTGAATCATGCAAAACAAATGGCGTTTTCATACGCTATGGGCTGACAATACGTCGAAATAGATTGGGGTTGAATTAATTGTGAAAACGTTGAATAGAACAATGTGAACTGTGTCTTTTTGCAATAATTCAAAGCAAAAATCAACATGGTAAAGGAAAAATCTAATTTCGAAAAAGGGAAAATTAAGCACTTTTTAAAAACACCTAATGAAAAAAGCACTTTTAAGGGCTTTTAAAAAACGAAAATAAGCACCTTTAAGCATTTTTTATAAACGCTACGCACTCTGTTACAGGGTAATACTCATTTATGATTGACACAACCACGTTCAGAATTATAGTAACCTTTAAACTATTAATATTTACAATTTTGGAAATTCATGTATTCTCCCAGTTTCTTAATAATCAAGCTGAAACAACTGTTCAGGCACAACACCTTTTATAATGTTACTTTCTAATTCAGAATTTTCTTTTTTGAAATCATATAGCAGATTTTAAGTTAAGAGAAAAGTTGCCAAGAAAGTAATGTAATTTAAGTAAATCAAGATTTGAAAAGTTGTTAATGCTATTCTTTTACATAACTCCAAATAATTTTTTATCCAAATCAAACCCATCAGAACACACAAGTAAAAGATTAAAAAATTACTTACTTTAAAAGGTGTTCGGTGTACAAGAGGGCAACTGTATGGTGTTTCCTTTCTAGACAGATAATTAACGGATGAAGTGGTTTTAAATTTATCTAAACTATTCAGTCTTGAGCCTTCTCCAATATTGCTCAAGCTAAGTTCAGGTAAAATACGCACTTTTCCAATAATAACCCTGAAAAAATAATCAACAGTGAGTTTTCATTGAGTTATATGCATAACAATAATTTGAAACAAATTATGTTTGGAATTTTGAATAGATGCAATTTAAATACAGCATTTAAAAAAAGGAACATAAAACTACTTTAATGTTAACAAAAATATTTTGTTTGATACCTTATTTCAGTCTAACTAAGAATTCATTTTTCAGAAAAAGAAACTTTTTTTTGGCTTCAATTTTTATTCCATTAAATGCTAGTTAAAATTCGAACAATGAAAAAAATCAGATGAAATGTAAAGTAAAATAAAACATTCTACCCTGTATAATAAATATAAAAACGAAAAAATAAATAAATGCATCTTCATTTTTATATTCCATTTTATTTATAATAGTCGCATACCAATGCACAAAACTTTTTAAATGCCCTATCATATTTTTTCGACTAATAAAACTAGCATTTTGTAGACGAACACTTATATCACAGACTAACAAGCCCTTTTGAGGGTTCGAGGATAGTGCTACTGATCTAAAATTAGAACAGTGCAAAAACATAATGTGCTTTCCTGTGGCGTAAGCAAATTGCTTCACCAACAAAGAAATGATAAAAAAATAATAATAATCATTATTTTGCATTAGATAAAATATTTAATAATGTTTAGTTGGTTCCTGTGATCAGCAAATATTAAAATAGATTTTTGGTTTGATTTTAGAAGGCTGCAGATGAAGCCTTAAATCAAGAGTTTCTGGCAAAATGCAACAAGTTGATTGTGAGTCAATGAGCCTGGCAAAGTTGCAACTTTTCTTCAACAAGCTCAGTGTGCGTGCACGTAATTCAACCAACAAGTAAAATTAAAATTATTGGTGCTGCCGTATGATTCAGACATCAGTACGTTGAAATGGATTGTGGATGAATGACACTGTTGTGAAAACAACACTTTTTACGTAATTCCTACCCACATCATGACAAAGAGAAAAATCTCTTTTGGGAAAAAGAAAATTTAACTTATTTTTCATACAAACACTGAATGAAAAATAATCATCTTTAAGGGTTTTTAAAAAGTGAAAGCCTAAAACAATCACCTTTAGACACTACCTTATAAAATGCTACGCTCTTTGAATTACTAATCAAACAATGTATTTTTATAAATTATAAGTTATATTTACATGTATATCAGATAAAAATGAACAAAAACATCAAAATCTAGAATTAAAATTCCTTTTTTAATAAATTTCGAAACAAAATTTTTTTAATAAAAAAAAATCATAAACATGTAGCAAAGGGAAAAAAAATCCCATTCTGAAAAAAAAAAAGCTTGCATAAATTTTTTTTAAAAAATATTTCCCTTAAAAGCAATACATTGAATTGAACATACATTTTAATGGAACAAATCTGAAACAGAATATATGTTCCAAAATACCAACAACCAGGTTATCCCAAATATAGAGCCAATTTTACCATTTTTGAAACCTAGTTAAATAGTTTAATAAAAACAAATCTAACTTTAAAACACTTACATACAAAAAACTTTTCTTTTGCAGAAAAGAGTGGTATGAATTAAATAACCTATAACTGTTTCTACAAAGCTTGTATAAGACTTCTTTAATTTCATTTAGAATATATATTATGGGTATTAACATTATAAAAAAAATCCTCTAATATCCAAGATATATTTTTTTAATGTGAAAAAAATAGCTTTGATAATTTCCTAAAACTACAAAAGGTAATTGATTAAAAATTTATATAAATATTTTTTCTTACCATAAAAAAATAAAATTGAGTATGTATGCAATTTGCACTTAAGCAATCAGGCAATTAAGAACTAACTTGTATGGCATAAAAATACCAAAATAATAATAATAATACAGTCGAACTTCTATGTAATGAACTTCTCTATTTTGTGATTTTTTTCAAGGAACCAAGAACATTTTGAAAATTTCTTCATAAGATAACTTCCAAATTGCGAAGTGAATTTTCTTATATACGATTTCTTATATATAATATTTTACGAACTTTTCTTTGAACCACTTTTTCCCTATTTCCCAAAATATTTCAGAACATTTCAAACTTGTTAATGCATTTTATGTAGGAAATTACCTTGAATTGTTTTTTGCAGCCACTTTGCTTTAAGAGAAAGCAGCAAAATCCCTTTACTTTTTTGTTATTAGTAGCAAATTTAGCTTTTATTAGTTAAAAATGTATGTAGAATGATAATGTAATGCTGGATAATGTTTTGTTCTATTCTTAATTTTCATGCAGATAATAATTTACAATTGCTATTTTAATTATGTCTAGTGTTTATGAATTTAAAACCTGTTTTGTGTTGCTTAAGTATTTCAAATGGTGATTTTCTATTTAACGAACTTTCCGTATAGCGAACTTTTTATTGAGATTTAGCGACTTCGTTAAACAGAGGTTCGACTGTACTCATAAAATATAAAATGAACAACACATTCTGATAATTTAAAATTGTTCACCTATTAAAATGTAAATACTTTGATTTTTAACTATTAACTATAATCATATCAGAAATGTGAAGGCTGAGATAGTGTTTTCTTCAAAAATTCTTAATTATTATGGATTACTATTGCAAACATTTCATTTTCCATCAATACAAAATAAATTACTTTAAAAAAGCTTTACCATATTAAGATGACAACCTACCCATCTGACTGTCTCCTAGAGTCTAGAACTTCAAATCTTTGTCTCCCTTCAGCTTTTATACGAAGCCCAGTTCTTCCATAACTTCCTTCTTCATCTCGGTATGAACGAATTTCAGCAGTTGTTCCGACACCAGCCAACACACTACTGTATGTTCTACCTGAAAATCTAAGCACAAGGTAATTCAAACATTATGAAAACATAAAACAGTAAAGTTAAAAACTCCGTCCTTGTTAATTTAAATCTTGTTTCTATTTCTTACACAGGGTGCATAGCCAAATTATTCAACAAAAAATAAGCACCTTTAAGCACTTTTCAAGCACTCAAATAATATTTTTAAGCACTTAAAAAAATATCATAATTAAGCAGGTTTGGAAAGTTTTTGACAATTGACGGTTTTATCTGGTTTTAACCGTAATGTCAAAAAAAATTTTCTTTTGGCATTGGTTTTGACAATTGTCAAAATTTTTGAATTATGTAAATCGAATGACCTATCATATGCTACGAACTGACGATGGACCAAAATAGATTGGGGTTAAATTAATTGTGAAAACCTTGAATAGAACAATGTGAACAGGGTTTTTCTGCATAATTCGCAGCGAAAATCAACATGGTAAAGGAAAAATCTCAATTTGGAAAAGGTAAAATTAAGCACTTTTTAAAAACACAATGAAAAAAGCACCTTTAAGGGCTTTTAAAAAACGAAGATCGAAAATAAGCACCTTTAAGTACTTTTAAAAACGCTACACACCCTATTACATCAATAGCATTCCCCTCTATGCAATTTAAAAATCAATTTTACAATTGGACTGTCACCATTCAAACAATATCAGTTTTAAAACTGATACATTGAAATAATAATTTAAAAACAGGACTCAAAATCAGTACTTTAATTGAGAAGGAATGTCGAAATGGACAGTATTTATGCTTACATTCGATGTTATTATTCAAAAGTGTCTTTTTTATTCAATATTTATTTGCTTTTATATATAATTTTCATATTTGTTTGTTTTTATGTTTCAGGCTTATGACTGTACCCATGCGAGATATTTCAGTTCTTTATTGCCAATACAAAAAAGAAATAATATATAGATAAATATAATATAGAATGTATAAAAAAAGTACACAAAAGTAATTTTACCTAGAATTTATTAATCCAAATGTCCGATCAGAATTGATAACATGGATCATCATTTCTATAGTAGAAGGATTGAAGAGTTGAAGTGGCAATGTTTGACCAGGTATGAGTACAACTCCTGGTAAAGCCAGGAGAGGAATAGTTTGACAACTGTCATCATCTAAAACAGTACGACCACTTAACTCTTCCAAATCTGTTCCAAGGTACTAAAACAAAACAATAAATATTGAAACTAAAACAACACAACAAACTAAAGTGTAAAACATGGAATGCCTGATTTTAGAACAAGTACTTATTTATGAATTAATTTTTCCCAGATTATGGTGAATTAATGTACGTACTCAACAACTGTCGTCATCTAAAACAGTATGACCACTTAACTCTTCCAAATCTGTTCCAAGGTAATAAAAAACAAAACAATAAATATTAAAACTAAAATAATATAACACAAACTAAAGTGAGATATGGAATGCCTAATTCTAGAATGAGTACTTATTTATGAATTTAATTTTTCCCAGATAATGGTCAAATAATGTACAAACTCATATTCAATTAATCAAAACCCTTGTGAAAATGGTTTTTCAACGGTTAGCATATTTTCAATTGATAAGTAATTGAGTGACTACAATTAATTTATTAAAAATAACCCAAATATTTCAAAATTAAACGTTATATTACAGGGTGCGTAGACAATTATTCAACAAAAAATAAGCACATTTTAATCACTTTTCAAGCACTCAAAATATATTTTCAAGCATTTTAAAAAATATATCATAACTAGGCAAGGTTGGAAAGTTTTTGTCAATTAACAGTTTTATCTTGTTTTAACCGTCTCGTCAGAAGAAAAAAAAAAACCTTATGGCATTGTTTTTGATAATTGTCAAAAATCATGAAATTTTGAATCATGTAAAACGAATGGCCTTTTCATATGCTACGGGCTTATAATATGCCGAAATATATAGCGGTTGAATTAATTGAAAAAACGTTGAATGGAACAATGTGAACTGCGTCATTTTGCATAATACGTAGCGAAAATCACCAGGGTAAAAAAAAATCTCATTTTGAAAAAGGGAAAATTAAGCACTTTTCAAAAACACTCCATGAAAAAAAAGCACCTTTAAGGGCTTTTAAATAATGAAAATCGAAAATAAGCACCTTTAAGGACTTTTTAAAAATGCTACGCACCCTGAATATTTATTATAGTGAAACCCGCCTATAACAGGCATAAGAATGTGAATTGTCTTTCTCAATGTCTTCTCTTTTATCTAGTCTCTTCCTTTTCGTCCAAATTTTTCCAGTGTCTTGGAAGAAATAGGTTTCTTGCAGATGAAATGCCAACCCTTCTTGTGGGAGATGTAAAAATAGTTGACGGGATTAGCACACGGCCAGCCGAAAAATACATTTTATGCATTTGATAAGTAAGAAATATATAAACCAGCAACTAAAAGAGAATTAAATTTTAAGAAATCAAAAGAATATCTTACAGAATGTAAAGCAGGTAGAGATGTGTCATAAGAGACATTAGGTCCAGGCTGTCTTGGTGTTTCTGTTGAAGAATGACCTCCCCCTTCACTACAATCTAAATAAACGAAGAAGAAAAATTAAGATCTAGTGGAAAAATCTTCATTTACAAAACTTTAGATTGTTGATAAGCTTACCTATTACATTACAAAGAATAATATAATTTTGAATGATATACTACCATGAGTTTTAATTTTAAGGAAACTTATTCATAATACTTTTTTTACAGTGTACAAAAGGTATTATGAATAAGTTTTACAGTACAGGAGTGTGTACAGTGTACTTTTTTTACGGTGTACTTGACTGCTTCACTGATCTATTCCCAAAATTATGAGTAGTACAGATAATATTGTTTGTATAGTTCTATCTAGCAACGATATCAAATTCGCTGATCAATGGCTGTCACTAACCGAATTCCTACATTTGAGATTTTTGTTTACACCAGTTTGAGTGTATATGCAATCTGTAAACAAACTGTGCAGAAAATTTTCAGGGCCTAATATTTCCTCTGAACAAAGTTTAAAATTTTCCAAAAATTTTATTTTTTTGTTAGCACAAATAACTCTTTTAAAAATATTTTTGGAATGTAAAGCTTTTATAATAAAAAAAAACACAATTATTGAATAAACGAGTACATGCGTTAAAAATAATAGAAATCAAAATATAAACTGAAATAGTAATTAATTTATTAAATTAAATTTAAGATCCCTAAGATCATAAACTTAAGAAATTAAAACTACTAAATACACAAGTTGACATATAATAGTTTTTTAATAAGGAAAAACTCTGCAAATTTTTAAAAATTTTAAAAAATAAAAAAAAAATTTAGCAATTTTTTTAGACCAAAAATTTTCTGATAGCTGCCTGAATTACTTCCAAAACCTTGCTCATGCCATCAAACATATTCTGGTCCCCTGCATATAAGCATTAACAGCAAATATAAAGAATAAAAAATAAATTTTATAATTATAAGTTGAGATCAGACATTTATTGGCAACCACTTTAGTTTTACTTTATCCAAAAAATCTGTCTTAATTGTGGCATAAAATAATTAAAATCAATGTTTAAATTGATAATAATTCATACCTCATAGTTATAATATAAACTGAATAGTTAACATACTGATCTTTAAGTACTAAGAGTACCACGTTTTGAGAAAAACCAATAGTTTCAATACTTCTAGTTATGTTTTTTATCCATGATATATAACGTAAAGCATAATTATAGTAGTACATAGTACATATATAATAAAAATTTTGTGTATGAATTAAGATCTAATAAAATCCCCCCCAATTACAAAAAAGCAACTTGCCTCAGGATTTTGACAGTTTTTGTCAGATTTCAACAGTTTTTGACACTTATCGACGGGTTTCTGATGTATCATGTCGAAAACCAGTTCTTGACATCAGAAACCCAGCATGGATTTAAATAGAACTGTCACTTGTTGCTTTTTTTTTGCCTGTTTCAACTGTGATTGTCCTACATCCATCGTCATGTTAAGTTTTTATGTACTGTATTGTATTTCTCAATAAATATATGTTTTAAGTCATTGTAAGAATCTGAAATTCTAAGTAATATAAAGTTATTGCCAGTGTCCAGTAGATGGAAGGATTTCTCATGGTCAATGTGTGTTGTCAGCAAGAAATGTTATTATTTTCCTGCTTTTGGAAAGAGTGTGTGCCATGCCAACGGACCACTTACAGTATGTATGTCACATGCTACATCCAAATTATAAAACATTTTATTGAAAGATCCCATTATTTTTAATAGTATTAACAGATTTGGTTTCGCAGATTTAGTTCCCAGCTTAATTGATTTAAAATTTAAATCTAATAATTTTGCGCAAGTACCATTGCAACTCAATCAACAATTTTGTGTTGTAAATTCTTATTTGAATTTTGGTTAATTAAACTTGTTGAATGATTCTCACTCAAGAGTTTATTAAATAATATCATGAAGCGTTCTAAATAGTAATGTTTTTAAAAAATTTTGATTATTATTTTAATTGCATACGTTGACTATATGCAGATTTACATGAAAATCATTATAAAAAGTAAATATAACTTATTTACTGTTTAATAATTGTAAAATTGTTAATAAATAATAATTAATACAAAGAGATAAAGAAATAATTTGTAGGTAAACTATAATAAACTATATGTTAATAAAAGTAAAATAATCTTGAATTTCACAAGAAAAAACTGAATCATGCTATGTGAATTTTTCCTTCTAATGTAATGTAAATTTCCTTCTAATGTTCTGGTCAACAATTTTATATTATTCATATATATATAAAGATGTTTATGGATAACCAATAGTTAGTTTTCATTAAACTACTCTACACTTGAAGCATTAGTATAGAAACAAAATTTCTTGATTTCTACCCCTCTTAAACACAGAGTGTAAGTAAAAAAAAATTTTTTTTTAAAGAAAAAAAGGTTTCAAATTTTTGTTTTAGTGGTACTACTCTTTCTAACACTCAGCTTGTTCATGATAAAATCCTACTAAAATGCAAAATTCTAATAAAATTTATAGAAACAAAAATCATATTAACAATATTTTACCCAGTAAGGTTGAAAAAGTCAATGATAACAGTAACAACTAAAACTATTTTTATGCTTGCAAAATTGGATAAAGCAATTAAGTGCCACAAAATAATAATATACAATATAAATAACAAAATGTTTAACACGAATTGTTTTTCTTCGTTGTTGTAAATCTATTTTTAAACAATTTTAACTTGAAAAATTACACAACAAAATAAGTAACAGACAAGTTTCACTGCATATTTTTTAACTATGTTTTCTAAGAGAAATTTTTTTTTTTTCATAAAACCTTATGAAAATAAGTCAAATCACTTTCAGAAAACAGAGTAAGTTTTGATATAAAATGCGGTTTCAGTTCTGTTTGCTTGTGCATGTTGAAAAGTGGTTGAAATTTTAATTGACAACTAATTTTACTTGCACTATTAGGGAAATAGTTGTAAATTACATTGGCATCAAGCATCCAATACCAATAAAAATATTTAGTCAAATTGATTAAAAATTTTTTATGAAGATTATAAATTTTTTTGCAATAAATTCTGTTGTAACGGTTGAAAGAGGACTAAAACTTCAATTACCATCCAACACACAGCTCAAGTTAAAACCCAAGCTCTCTAGCGAGGCTGAAAAGAGAACAAACTCTTTTCGACAATAAAATAACAATAAATTCAAGGACTACTATTATATAATTATTAGTGATCTCACATTTCAATGAGGATATTTCAGTATTTATGATCTGTTGCGCCAACTACAATCGCCAAGGCGCCAAATAGATTTTAAACTTGCAAATTTTTGTAGAAAAAAACATGTAGATGTTTGCCTGGGGGTTGGCTACGAGTTATACATTTTGAGTTAGTCCCTTTCTGTGATGTTTTTTTTTAAGTTTCTGCCGGAAGCTGCCAAGACTTGGCGATTATTCTGCCACAGATCAGGATACAGAAATCTCCCCTTTCAACGATCAACGTATAAGAATAGTATGTTGATTCAGTTTTTTATTTTCAGTTTCATATTTTGGTCCCTGTAATCATCACAAAATAGCATATTTCATCATAATTGTGAACATTACATATTCTTTGCTATGCAAAAATTCATTAAATTTTTTTTTTTAAAAAAAGCTTACTAAATACATGTAAATGGACCAGTGAACATGTGTATGGGCTAGTTATTTCCTCTAATTACTGGTTCCTTAAAAAAATATTATAATTGCTATTCCTGATCAGTGTGCCACATCCTATACATAGGAAAGAGATACCTAGAGAGGAACTTATTTAGGTGCAAGACCAACTAAAAATTGCAAGAAGCAAGATCCAGACAATAGCGTTGACGGTCGTATTTGAAGGAAAGCGATCTATTTATTTCGGATCGTTTGATTTTATTTTTATATTCGACAGGGTTGCCGCTCTAATATGGAAGAAAAAAAATTCCCTGTGTTTTCCTTATAGAGGACATATTTCAATATCGTGATTTGTGGCAGAATAATCGCTAAGTCTTGGAAACTACCGCGCAGTGCTCCGCGAGAAACTAGAAAAAAAAAAAAAACAACACAGAGAGGGACCAACTCTAGAGGTATAACTCGTAGCTATCCCCAGGCAAACATCTGCATGTTTTTTTTTTTAAATTTGCAAGTTTCAAATCTATTTGGCAGTTGTAGTTGGTGAGACATATCACAATACGGAAATATCCCCGTAGATATTATACACAATATATTAAGAGGAAATACACTATCACTGCGCTTTTGTGTGAGCTATATTGTACTTTTTAAATTGCATGTTTTAAATCTGTTTGGTATCTTGGCGATTGTAGTTAGCGCGACAGATCACGATTTGGAAATATCCCCCAATATTTCAAATAAAAAAGGAACAAAATTATATGACAGCTCTCGAATCTTTAAATCTATGTTACAAAAGTGCTTAATCCAATTTTGAAATAAAAATGCAATAAGCCTCTACAAGTTTACGGCTAAAAACTGAAAAGCTACTTTCAATGAATTGTTATCAAAACATTCCTTGTAAAAAGAAAAACATAAAATGAGACAAATATAACGTACCTTTTTTCTTTTTGAGCAGTTTTAGGAGGAATTTAGCCATAAGTCTTTACAAAAAGCACATTTACACAGTTCACAGTCACGTCAATATATAGTTACACAAAAGTTCGTATAACAGCCAGAAGAGCAAAAGATGAAACTTGAATGTCAAAACGAAATCTTCAAAGAACTTGTAGGTATCACAACAAAGTTATTTCAGTTTATGTTTTCTGGTCTAAATTAGGTGCACAAACTTAATAATCTTTTAACGAAAAATTTAAATGCTAAGTACAATAATACGCAGTCGAGTTAAACAGTTATAAAGGAATTACCATAAAAAAGTTAATTAGCATAATTCAGGTCTTGAACAAAAAAGCAAAATAACTTGACATATTACCTGAAGAATTGTCAGATGATTCTTCGTCTTCATCCAAATCACGTTCAATACGTAAATCAATCAAATCGTCCATGTCCATGTTTACTAATAGAAAACAAAACAAAACAAGTAACAAAATATTTAGAACCGATTGTAGTTTTGGACCTGGTAAAACTTTAAAGCTTGAAAAAAAATTTTCAGGTTACAATTATATGTCCACAGGTTAATTTTAAGAACGGCAACGTTTGACACGCTGTGGACTGAATCAATACCTCCTAGATTGAAGAAAGCCA